TTCGATTTATTATCTATAAGGCAGTCATTTTATAACATGTGTAATAAGCTCATACATATTGCAAAAGCTAAGCTCAGGATTGGTTGGCCTTTAATATTGCTTACATACTGCTGAAGTTATGTCTGGAGTTTTAGTCCCTTTTCTTTATCTTCAGTACCAAATCCTTTTTTAGACTCTCGGTTCCCTCCTTGCTACATTCTCTCTGTCACATTCCCGTTTTGCTACATTCTCTGTCACGTCGACAACTTCCAAGGACACCATCCTTCAATGCCCCTTCTCTGTTAACCATTCTTGAGTTATGCTTACCCAGGGACCCCCCCTCCACATCATGATGTTCTGCAAGAAACATAATGAAAACATTGTTTTCAAAGTGGATATTGTTTAATCCCATCAGCCTGACAGTACAAAAACACTGCACTAGAACGAGTAATCTTGTAACTGCAACAAGGCAAAGGATAAGGACTCTCACAACTGATGCAGGGTTTAAACACAAGGACACCTCTATAGAAACCACATCTGATACAGCCAAACACAAGGATGAATGAGAAGCCAGTGCTTCCCACAGTAAAAAATCTGAAATATAGATCTAGCCAAGAGATCAAACATCAAATCCCCATAATTTCAGACTCCCTACCAATAGATATGTGCAGTACACGAAGTCTCCAGTATATCAGGGCCCATGATACCACTGTATTGTCAATAAAACATAGTACCTAGGACTTCAGGGAATCCCTTAAAGCAACAAAAACAAAAAAAGAAATCAGGTGAAAAACAGAACTCCATTACTCAGTTAGAAGTTTTCATAGACAGGAGTATTAGAAAACTGCCCCCATAAAAAATAAAAGAAAAATAAATTGATTCCTCTTATACTTGATTCTGCAATCAGGTTGCAATTCTTCATTTTGGTATCAGTGATCTGTTACAATGCAACATTGTGGTGACCTCCCTCGGAGTAAGTATATGCACAGAAAGTCACTGTCCATGCCAGCAGGACAGTGGCAAAAAAATCCAGAGTCCTACCACAACCAAACAACCTTGAGACACAGACTCCAGGAGAATTTTAGTTAGCACCAAAAGCACCTATAGGAGCGAGTGTTTCTGCTACAGACTAAACATAGTTGCTTCCCAAGTATTTAATTAGTCAAGTCAGAACATTTTGCAGTTGTTCTCAGACTGATTGTTCTGCCATATTCCACCCTTGACTTGCATCTTCTCTCTTTCCCTAGGCAAGTAAATGTACATTTTGCTATTTTTAGGCAGGGTATGCCACCAACACTTTCCTAAATGACCATATCAGTGCTCCCCCAAAGTCTTTGAAAACTCAACTCCTAAAAATACTGTCCCGTAGTCAATGGATCAAGTTTTATGAATACAAAAATTCCACAAGTTTACTATAAAAATGAAATCAAACAAAAAACATACCCTAAATGTAATTAAAGGAGCACAAAAGTAATGCAGATGTGAGTTTAAATCATTACAATACAGATACATAATTCTGTCTACTAAGTAAAAGTGATATAAAAAAGCTAAATGAAAATATACTATCTTGCCAAAACTCTTAATAAGAGATGAAGTGACCTGAAGAATCAGGATCATCTGAGCTGACAGAAGTACTTCTCTACCTGTTCAATGCACCCACCCCAGCCTTTGTGAGCAGAAAAAAAAGGCTTGAAGGAGGGGATACAAAATAAAATTAACATGCACTAGGAAATGCAGGTGTTGTGAGAGTGGGCAGTCTAATACTTCTTATTGTACTAGTCTGTTACATTATCTAAGAAAAAAATTAAGTTTTCCAGCCATTGTTGAAATAAAACTCCAAACAAGACTGTTACTGATCATTTTTATGTTCTTAAATGGCTGGTTTTGCCATTGCCAATGTAGTTATGGCATGCAGCCATAACAGACAGAATTTTCCTCCCCAAAGTTTAGTATTATACAATATACATTAAGCAACCTGTGACATAAAAATACAACATTGAAACTTACAGTATGTAACAAAATCCTTCTGAAAATCTTTCCTAGAGTCGACAAAGGCTCTTCCTTTCTCAGTTCCAACTACAAACACATCTGTTTCATATAGAGCAATACAGGCAACTTCTGCCTTGGACTTGGTAAGTTCTTTACACTAGAAAAAGAAAAAGAAAAAGCTTTTATTACTATAGTTAAGATACAGTTAATAGAAATGTATGTGATATTATGCTGTCAGCATCCACCCTTCAGAAGGTACCAGAAGCAACATAACACCAGCCAGTAGCAAAGCACAATTTACAAACCTGGAATGCTTTTCATCAGAAATCTTAAAACCACCATAGATGCATTGGTGAAATTGAGGCCTTGTCTAGACTCAGAGACTGCACTGTTTCTAATTAAAATTATTTATGACATCAATTCATGTGAAATTATTACTTTCATATTAATCATCCTGAGTGTCTTTGTCCAACTCCTACTTTCAAGAGAGCAGACAGGAGTTTTGTTCATTCAAAGCACACTTCTTGCACACCATGTTCTGTTCAGAAAGGTGTGGCTGCAAGCAGGATGGCTGCCTGCATTCTGCCTTGTCCTGACTGCTAGGCCCAGGCTCAGGTGAATTCCTCCTGAACCAAAGGTTTCCACCGTCCCTGCAGACACCTACAGTGTTCTGCCAGGAGAAATTTGTGGCAAGAATTAAGGCAGGAAGCCTATGGAGAGAACAAGGATCCCAAGAAAACTGGTGAGATCATCAAGAAGTGATAACAAAAAGTCAATCTCTCCTAGCAACTCAGTTAGCTGCAACCTATACTGCAGCATGTGAGGAAAAAGTGACACGAAGAGTTTAAGAACCTAATATACTCAATGGGATAAAAGGCTTTCAACCCATTACCTTATAACTATCCCATTCAAAGTTTCATTGCAAAAAAGAAAATGTTTAGTTTTGCTTATTATTTAAAAAAATAATTTTAAAGAACCACACCTTTGGCAGTGCCTCAACTTAAGGAAACAGGGCATTTCCACTCACAGTCCTGGCCGACCTTAAACCACACCACAGAATAATTAGGTAACTTCTACAAAACAGGTGATATGCCAACTTAAAAAGAGTATTTTCTGAACAAGTTTAGTTGAGTTGGAACAGCAGCTGAGGACAAGCCATTGGCCTCAAAACAATTTATTCACTCCACATAGCAGATGACAAAGACTAGAACATACACTTTCTTTTCAACCACGCTGTACCTGAGCAATCAACAAATATTTCCGGTTTATGTGCCAAAATCATTTTTAAAACCACCATCACAACAAGAAAGATGACTGTTATCATGATTTACCACAAGCAGAGACAGAGTTATAGCTGGTTGGACAGCCTAATAAGGTAATAATACAACAATACACCTTTCCTGCTGCCCAGTCAGAAGCAAAATACCGATGTAGTCCTGCAAATGCTACGACAGAGTTATGATGCAGCAGCGTAACTTCTCTACTAACCATTGACTCAAGTCCTGACATGAGGAATTTAACCACCATTCTGCTTTCCAAGGATTCCTCATCATGGATAGATGCTACTGGTGCAATAGCTTGAGCCATTTTCCTCCTATAAAATGAAAGAAAAAAACCTTTTCAGATACACACAACAGTCAAGAAAATGAAAAACTCTTGGGCAAGCAGAGAAAAAAATAAATTCAAAACCCCATAGAATACAGCCCACCACACATAAGCAACAAAACAAAGAGGTAAATTAACAGGAGAAAGTGCTTGCTCTTCTATTCTTTCGTGCTTTCTGATGTTTTATCCAAAGTAGAAGCTAAAACCTCAAAAGTTACAATGTTGTGCCATGACCAGGCCACAAAACCTTTGTGCCTAGAAAGATGCATATTAATTGATTACCTGAATATACATAAATTTCTCTTTCTAAGTATGTTTGCAACTCCGACAGTCTAGATAAACACAGCAACAAACACTGGCATTAACATACAGAAATGGCAAATCATAATTATGATTCAGGTATTAGAACAATCTGCCCTGTAATTACCATGGCCTATTTCAAAACAAACCACTACCACTGCCCCAAAATCACGGCCTCAGAGTGTTGCCGAATTGCTGCCCCAAAAGGCGTATATAAAACTGCTCAGAGACAAGTTTAAGTCTTTCAGCAGCAAGGTATTTATTCAAGCAATGTTGAGGAACCCCCAGCTCTCGCCAGACACAGAGTTCCAAAGTAATCAGTGGACAGTGTGACTATTTATACAATTTTTGTGAGAGATTACATCATTTCTACATGCATATTCATAATATTGCAACATTTCATTATAATATTCATAGCAGGTGGAGTCTGGGTGGAATCTTCTTTTAGGGGTGCTGTTTCAGGGGTTGTTCCTGTTTCTTCATCCTCAGAGGGGTTGTATTTTGAGTCTTCCTCACTTTGAACTACTCAACTTTCTTTAATTTTACTGATTCTAACATACATTTGGCAGGAGTTTCTAGACTCCAGCTCTCTCCTTTCCTCCTTATCTCTTGTGTCCTTCTTTTATGTTTATTTAAGTACAGATGTTAGCATTTTAGTGATTTCTGTTTTCCTGTATTTTTACTTTATGTTCTTTTGTGTCAGTGTGTCCCTGTTCTTTGGCACAGTGTTATTTTCCGCTAGCCTTGAATTTTGGTTCTTTTAGTTCTTTTACTCAGAGCATGCACTCTGAGTTAACTTCTTCAGGGTCCTGCTCTGTTTCAAGAGACAACAGTATCAGTAACCAGAACACGACACTCTTATGTCCATATTCTTCAGCTGTAGGATTAACTCAAAGTTAAGAAGCCTCAATTAAGGTGTTAAGATTACAAACTGAATTTCAGTAGTGACACAAAAAAGAGATTTAAACCATTTTCCTGTAGGTCATTCAAGAGACTCAACTTTTTAAAGACATAAGTAATAATCAAGACTAGTTTATGCTTCTGTTGGTAGAATTGTCTATACAAGACTGATTTACTGAGAATGAAGTTTCAGCAGCTTCTAAGAGCACGTTTTTCTATTGGAGTGTTGCAACTTGTATGTTTACATATACCTAAAGCAGTAACTTGACATGCCTAGAGAAGGAAGGAACTTGGAGATAATTTGGTGTTCCAACTCCACATGCAAGTCTTGAGGAAAATCACCTCAAAAGTCAAGATGGCCCAGATAAACAAGACATTTCACAACAAGTTGATAAGACAGGTTGCTGATCATGTAGAACCTGGGCACATGATGTGGCTCAAGTTTTCAAAGGTGACATGTATCCTATTAGATGTGCAGACAAGTCAGGGCAGCACAACTAAGTCAGGGCTTAGTGCTCTTCAGACTACAAACTGGATGAGAGGGGAAAAAAAACCAAAACACCACAATTAGCAACACTGCAAGCTCACAACACATCCAGCAGCCTTCTGGCTCTCGAGCACAGGCTGGTAAGGTGTAAACAGTCTTAAAACAGCATTCTGGATAAACTGGCAGGGGCACAGTCACCAGTTGCTGGAGGATGCTGGAGATGAAAGGTTCAAACACTGGCACCTGCTACACTTACCTGCCTCAGGCCCCCATCAAGAGTGGGGATGTGGAGGCAAGAGGCTGATGGGATTATCCTTCAGAGGAAGAGGGGCTTTACTTGAGGAATATCAGAGGGAAAAGGGAGATTATGATATGACATAAATAACTCAGTCTTTATTGATCCATGACTTTTGATGCATAATAGTTTTCAAGATCACTTCTGGAACTCCTTTACGGTTGAGATCTGACAGTGATTTTAAACATGATAGATTTTAGACTTTGTAAAACAACACATTACATTAAAAACAAGAGTAAACTTACTTTCTAATTTCCTAAGCTACCTTGTTCATAAAACAGACCAAGGGAATTCCAGAAATCATTTGAAGGCTGTGGATATACAAGCAAATCCATAGTAGTGCCAGTTAAGGTGTCTCCCTCATGCAGAATTGGTCCTATCCCTGGAAGATGGTTTCTAATCCACAAGCACACAGTGGATCAAGCCAGAGACTGCTCAAGGCAACAGGGAGAAGTGCTCCACTGGACCGGGTCACAGCCTCAGTATCTTAGAATCAGAAAGTTAAGTTGGGTTATCATTGCACGACTCTTCTAATAACATTTGCAAAAGTCTTTCCAAAGCACAGTGTCCTGTATTTTTTGGATACCCATTCTTTAATCAGTTTGTGTGATGCCAGATCAGTGTATAATGCAGATTCAAGAAACATCCTGTTGCACCGTGGAAGCACAATAATACATTTTCCTACCCACTTGACAGCAAGTCACAAATGCAAGAATCAATTTTCTTTCCCCACATTTTGCCAGTTTCTCCCTTTCAAACATCAGTTTTCTCAACTATCCTTATTTAACCAGTGGGACAGTGTTTATTATTAGAAAAAGTAGGCTGTGGTTCAGCAGATCTAATGAACCTGGCTGCCTTTCCAAAGCCCAGCTCTCAGAAAGTGTGTGACACCATGACTGCCCAATGTCCAGTAAATCCCCAGTTCAAAGCCTTGAAAAATTGTAACACCTTATAAATTGTCCCCAAAACGTAAGGAAAAATAAAACTCTCTAACACTGTAATTTCATTACTAGAAAGCAGATATTTATTTTGGGTGCAAGGTACACAGGGGATCTTTCCTCCTAACATGAGCATCCCAGCCATCCAACATATCAGCTTATATTTATGTAACTAATACACATTCATTACATTTCCTAAAACTCATACATATATGCTAAACATTCCCATGAACTCCTAAACATATTTAAATCACTTCCCAGAACTCATTTAAATTAGAGTGGGGGTTTCTTGAGGGTCTCTGGTTGTTGTTCAGGGAACATCCCATTCCTCAAATCATCCTTTTATGTTCCTAAAACCTGTTTCTTTTCCTTGAATGCATTCCACCTATGTGGTCTGGCCAAGATACACCTTTGTAATGCCTTTTTATCAGCTTTTTCTCAAGGCTAAGATATCCACTTGCATGGGTGAATACAGGACTAGGCACTGTCTGATAAAGGAATTCACAAGACTAAGCACAATTTGCTACAGTTAAAGATTTTTTCCAACACCATTACCAATGTGCTACACAAAAAGGTCAATTTAAAATCTATCTTCTATCCTTTGAATAGAGTACCACTTATGATATATCTAATAATCTTAAGTCTTCCAGATCAGTTAATATTCGTTATAATTATCTATAAGTCCTTTGGTTTAACTTTGCCAAAATGAGCCTTTGCCCAAATAAAGCCTTGTAACAATGAACAAAGCCTTGCAAAATACATTCTTGCCTGTGGTTTAATCCCAGCCACAAGTCAGCCCTCGGTCACTCCCCTCGGTAGGATTGGAGAAAGAACTCAAAGGGTAAAAGTGAGAAAACTCACAGACTGAGAAAGAGAGTTTAATAGCGAAAGAAAATGCTGCCCAGACAAGCAAAGCAAACCAGGGAACTCATTCCCACTTCCCTCCTTTCTGCCCCCTGCTCTGGATGCTGAGCACGACAGCACCTGCTCTGGGATGTGCCTGGGGTCAGCTGGCCAACATGGATCACCCCAGCCCCTTGCGCACCCTCGGCCTCCTTGCTGGTGGGGCAAGGAGCAGAAAAGGCCTTGGCTCTGTGCAAACACTGCTCAGAGATAATGAAAACATCCTTGAGTTATCAACACAGCAGAAATCCAAAACACGGTCCCATACCAGCTACTGTGAAGAAAATTAACTATCCCAGTCAAAATCAGCACACTGCCTGATGAGAAGGCCATGACAATAGAGCTAAAAAAATCCCTGGATTTTCCTTTTGCAAGGAGAAAACCAAAGAACAAATGTTACAACCCATCCCTAAAGGCAGGATAATTGAGGTTTTTTTAATAAATCCCTTGTGGTGGTTTAGAGTGAAAGGACACTGAATAACCAGTGTTATATATATGCATATGGCCAGTTTATTTTATAACAATTTGGTTGCAACGTAAAGGAGGTATTTAGCAATTTTGGTTACTATTTATAGTAATATAACAATATACAGGTACAACGATATCACTTAAGAAAACATATGTTCCAGTTTAAATGAGACACAGGAGTTTTGCTGAGGATGAGTTATGAGAAAAGACCCAAACTCCTCCCTCTAAGTAATTATAAATCTGAAATTAAGAGGCTCCGGTTGAAGGAAAAAAATTATGGAAAAGGAAAAATAACAGCCCTTTATTAAAAGGTATGTGTGTATTGGCAGAAACAACGACAGAAAACAAGTAAAACAACCAAACAATACTCCTATATCCCCTTCAAAACAAACCAATAGACAAGCAAAGAAAAAAGTAAACAGTTCAGTTTGTGCCCTTTGGTGCAATGAATTCCAACCACAGTCAACAGGGGGCACTGCTGGGTCACTGGAGATGCACAGCCTGCAGTTCTTCGTGCTGGCCAGCAGGTGGTGCTGTGGAAGCACTGGTCATTGCCACGTGGGGTAACACCCTCCAGGGTGTGTTGGAGAAACCAAAAAAAAAAAAAGGGTTTCCCTCCCCTTCCCCACACATTGGGAAAGGGGAGGGGGAGAAACAAAAAAAGTCCTCCCCCACCCCCAAAAAAACCAACTCACTCT